GGATCATCAATACACACCAATACACACAGGAGGGATTAATAGTAATAATATTATGTTAATAGTAGTAATACACTGTTGATAATGTTAATGTATTCATAATGTTAATAATGTTAATGTATTCATAATGTTAATGTATTCATAATATTAATAATCATAATAAATGTTGACATTTTTCTGACAACAGCAGAAAAGTAGAGGAGATGTTTACTTTGTTGACGGCTCGTCGTAGGACGCCATCAGCACCACATTTCCTGTCTCGATGCTCTTCAGGAACTCGACGAGAGGTTTCACATCTGGAACACAAACATCTCGTCAAACTTTGAACTCTTTCTTGGAATCACCTAAAGAACCACGTGGTAGTAAATCAGTTCCTACGTACCGTCACTATACATGTTAAAGGTACCCGTCTTCATGACTTCTCCGGTTTTACCTGATGAAGACAGAGACGTTAGATACTCTTCTGTCAGAGATCAGTAAGAAGCACTGACAGAAGAGATGCAGCTGGTTCAACACTCACCGTTCATTAGAACAATGTTGATTCCTGGTGCAGCATTGTTCAAGACCGCTCCAAGAACCCTGAGAAGAGTTTGATCTACTGTAACTACCACCTGGCATCAACATGACAAGAAAGAGCAAACAAATCCAACCAGAGCTGAAGGGGGACCAGAGAGACCCAGAATGACAAGAGAACCCAGAAGGACTAGAAGGACCAGAGGAACCAGAAGGATCAGAGTACAAGAAGGACCAAAAGGACCAGAGAACCAGAGGACCAGGACCAAAAAAGACCAGAAGGATCAGAGGACCAAAAGAACCAGAAGAAGGACTAGAAGACAAGGATAAAAAGGACAAGAAGGACCAGAAGACCAATAGGACCAGAAGAACCAATGGACTAGTGTACCAGATCAGCATCACCAGCTGACTCACGTAAAACATTCAGTGTGAATTTTTCTCACTGAGATAAAAACCAGGAGGTGTTTGAGGAGGAAGTTCTCCGGGTGAAACACCTACAGCTTGTTTTGGAGGCAGATCTTTGCAGCCACGACGTTGGCGGCTCCACTTTGGATGAAGAAGCTGAAGGAATCCACCGGACAGTCTCTGATACTGCACGATCCAGCTGGAGAGGAAACACCGATTAAATCCCCCATCAGATCAACTTGATCCTGATCAGGTTGAATCCATCACTGACCTTTAGAGGACGTCTTGGGCGTTTCAGATCCTCCAGATAAAGAACTACGCAAATCCTCTGGAACAACAGATTTTTAAACAGTTAAACAGATGTTTAGTTAAGTAAACATCTGTCTTCTGAATATCAACATCTAAACTGCTGACTCGGACAAAGTTTGTAGTTTCGTCCTTCAAGGTCGGCTCGAATTCAATTCAGTTAAAATAAATCTGCTGCAGCATAAATCACACATTAAGGTTCAGCTGAAGCCTCATATTTACTTCAGAGTTCGTCCAATTAAAAGTGAGAATCTTCCAAAGTAGGAAGTAAGTATTTTGTTTTCACCAAGATCATCTCTTCTATGTTTAACTAGAAAATTCATCTTTATGCAGACGATACTGTATTATAGTGATGATGTAACCAAGTACATTTACTCAAGTACTCTACAGTACAAATTTGAGGTACTTTTACTTTACTTCAGTACTTTCTTGTCTTCCACTACATCTCAGAGGTACATATTTTACTTTTTGTCTTTCTGAAGAAGTTGCAGCTGAACTGACATTATTTAAGCAGAGTACATGAAGCCTGATTAATTTAACTTCCACTGGTTGTATCAAAGAAGATACTACAAATATACTATGTAGTAAATGTATATTATCAAAACAATCGGAAAAATGTCTCCAATAAGAACACATTGATAGCAGAACTCAGGACTGAGCTGTCAAAAGTACCGTTGAAAGCTTTGGATGAGCTGCTGGATTTCTGCAGGATTAGAGTCATGACAACAGCCGCTGTCACCAAAACCAGCATGATCCATAAAACCTCTGCAGGAGACAGAGACAAACAGAGACAAAGAGAGACAAAGGGAGACAAAGGGAGACATGGGGAGACAAACGGAGACAAACAAAGACACCAAACATCAGACTGCAGCTCCACCAGTCGGACCAGATCTCAACAGAACGGAGGAGCTCAGAGACTCCAGTCGAACCGGTTTCGTGAGTTTCAAATGAGTATGTTGGATATAAATAAATGAAGAAGAGAGAGAAGATCTTCTTCTTTCTTGTGAGATAATACTGAATTGTTTTACTTCTTCAGACCTCTAAAAACTACTTGATTAAACATTGTTTTAAAGGTTCATGGGACAAAAAAAGGTTGGCAACTAGAATGATGGATTTCATTTTTAACTTAATTCTAAAAATGATGGAAAAATATATTTTATGTATGTGAAGAACTTAAAGTTTATTATAATTGGCGTGTTTGAAGTCTGTCTCGTCACAATCAATCTTTGGTAAAAATATTAATTGAGTCTATTATTATTATTATTATATATATATATTCCTGTATTATCGTCTATTTTACACTTCATCTCATATTGTTGGCTTCAGTTAATTTAATGTGAATTTAACGACTTTCTTAAAACACATTTATACATTATTCACATACAGTATAGCTGAAATAGGTTTAACTGTGACGCTGTGTCAACACGACACTGATCATCATTCTTAATCATTAAATCAAATACTAAAACATTATATATTTAAATGATAATAAGAAAGTATGACACCTTCATGTGTTTATTAGTAACAATCAATAAGAAAGTAACCCTGTTATAAAACACACACACACACGGACACAGAAAACTTACTTCCTTTGAAGTTTGATCGTATTGCCATTTTTGTTTTTCCTGTTAAAAAAGAGCAGGTCAGAGTACTTAAATTACACATAAAGGGAGCAACTGACAATTGTTTTGTCTGAAGGTATGAATTCAGATCCCTCGTTTTGTCTGAAGGTATGAATTCAGATCCCTCGTTTTGTCTGAAGGTATGAATTCAGATCCCTCGTTTTGTCTGAAACCCAAAAACATTCAGTTTATTGTCAAATCTTCACTTTGGAGCTCAAATTATTTAGTTATCACATCTGTTACTTGACAAATGGATT